TCATGGTGCAGAAAGTCACTTTCTAACACCAAGCTGTGAACCACCATCATCTGTTCCAGAGAATTCTACTGATTTACTACTGATTCTACTGGACTTAAAGGAAACAAGCCCAGATGTAAGGATTATAGTACTATATTACATTTTATATACTTATGTATCATATACATTTATATTACAAGATTATTGGGTTACATGGTTTTTATCTTAGGCTCTTAGATATAAAAAGGAGTTTGATAGAGCTTATATAGCCTTTGTTTTATTTTCTTTTAGTGAGGGAAAAAATTGTGGGTTTTTGGTGTTAAGTGTTATTTTTAATAATACAATTTTAAAGTTGATCTCTTCTTTCTGAAAAGATATTAAGTGGTTTGAATCTATATATAGATGTGTGTGAGAAAGAATGAAAAGTGAGAATCAGATAAAGAGAGAAAGGAGATAAGGTTTTCATAGATTTTCTCTTTAATACAAAAGCTGTTGTTTGAATGTTCTACAAAATTGTTTTTAATGTTACCACATGGAGTTGGGAAGCCGCATGTGTGGTATATGGCTGAACTTTGTGTGGTTTGGAATGCATAGACATTAAAGTAGCATATTTTTAAAGTAGGGCTCACTATCCCTGAGCTGAGGACAACATTTCTTCTAATATTTTGAACCAAACATGGATAGTTTGGCAGCTATTTCCCATTAGAACTCAATGAAATGAAATAGCTGCTATCTCTTCATAGCAAGCTGCAGGTTTCCATCTGTTGTGAGTACTCGGATGCTTTCGAAAGAGCATTCTTATTTTTGAGCCCCTTTTGAAAACTTTAAAGGACATAAATAACTTCAGTATGGTTAAATATTTATTTGGAAAACATGTCTTCCAGAGGTTCATTAGCAACTTGCCACTCTAGGAGTGGAAGGAAACAACCACACTTGTTACTTTGCTTGGGACACCAGTTTCTGCTAAGTGGAAATGAGTGTCAATGCCTTTTCTTTATGCATCACATTTTTATTGAAATCCTGGTAGGTACCAGGCACAGGGCTGAGCTCTTTCCACTTGCTCTGGCAGCACAAATCTGCAGCCTCTACTTGAAATTTACATCTATTCAGATAACAATGAAACACGTATTTATGATAATAATCCAGTGGATGTAAAGGTACATAATGGACCAAAAATGAATTCACTAACTGGAAACAAAAGAAACTGCTAATTAATTCAAAGAATCTTGGGAATTCCCCTGTCACCTGAAGCAAGCCTAGCCTCCTAAGCCGGCTGTAGGAGTTCTTCCTGTCTTTGCTGCTATTACTCCAGCATGAACAGCATTTTTGTCACTGTTGCCAGCAACACTGAGGGACTAGGAAAAATGTCAGTCATATTATCGCGTTCAAATCAGGTCATAATTACAATATAATTTTTCACCCAACACCAGCCATTTTCTCAACGAACTTTTTACCTTAAGTAAGATTCTTAGATTTTTGCATAACTATATTTTTCCAAAAGTGTGGCCATCAATGTTTTGCCTGAAAAATCAGAGTAAAACATATAACTATATTTGAGACTAGTATTTTTATATTCTGAGTACAGTTGTTCATGGACATCTCTTGGGAGGATATAAATAACATTTTTCAGATTATAGGTAAATGTATGTCCCCAAAATAATTTGATAACTGCATGTTTATTACTATGGACATTCTTTTGTTAAAGAAATGTGCAGAAACATTTGATAGATTCCTCATCTGTCCTTCGCTTTTTCTAATCCAACTAATTCTAAACTAGCAAAATTTCACAATCTGAAAAAAATCTTTCTCCCAGATGGGTAAGTAAACTTCAGCAGCAGTAATAGAATCAGTGGACTTTAGATTTTACAATTACCCAAACTCAATCCTCAAGTGATTCTGGAGTCAAAACTGATACTATTTTTAAATCGCGTCAGTGTTTACATCTATATATGGTTAAATTCACTATTGTTTATCAATACTCAATTCTCCTTTGATGCAGGCTCACAGGAAGATTGCCCTTCCTTGATCAGTGGAAGTGAGGCAGGGTTCTGTGATCACTCACTGACAATGAAAGACAAATGAAAGTAATGTGCACCACTTTGGGAGGCATCCATTTGTGATGCTGCAACAGAACACCTAAGACAAGCTAACTTACAAAGAACAGAAATTTATTTCTGACAGTTTGGATGCTAAGAAAGCCAAGATCAAGCCTGCAGCATCTGGTGAGGACCTTCTAGCTATATCCTCACATGGAGGAGCCACAGGGACCAACTCCCTTGTCCCTATCCCCTTTATAAGCCCAATCATGGGGGAGGAGTCCTCGTGGTCTAAACACCTCTGAATAGCCTCACCTCTTAATAGTATCATGTGGGGCCGGGCACGGTGGCTCAAGCCTGTAATCCCAGCACTTTGGGAGGCCAAGGAGGATGGATCACGAGGTCAAGAGATCGAGACCATCCTGGTCAACATGGTGAAACCCCGTCTCTACTAAAATACAAAAAATCAGCTGGGCGTGGTGGCGCGTGCCTGTAATCCGAGCTACTCAGGAGGCTGAGGCAGGAGAATTGCCTGAACCCAGGAGGCGGAGGTTGCGGTGAGCCGAGATCGCGCCATTGCACTCCAGCCTGGGTAACAAGAGCGAAACTCCGTCTCAAAAAAAAAAAAAAAAATAGTATCATGTGGACAACATTTGAATTTTGGAAGGGACACATTTAAACTGTAGCAGGAACTATGGAACTTACAGTGCTGGGATTATAGGCATGAGACACCTTGCCCAGTCTACTTTCTGATTCTTTATGGTACTTATTCTTCACCTGCTGCAATAATCGTGGAAGCAAGTGATGATACTGTGGTGCCATAAAGCAAAGCAACCTGGATCACTGTGCCAGCAGGTGGAGAACACTGCCCTGAAAATCTGTCTGGACTCCTAGTCAATTTTAAGTGAAAATCACTCTTGTTGTGTGAAACCACAGATTCTGAGATTGTTACTGTAGCAAAACTAGCCTCTGCTCACTGGTAGATAAAGAAAATGCTCTCGGTTTCTTAGCATCTGTACTGATTTTTTTTAAGTCCCTCATTTTCCTCCCCTTTCTCTTACCCCCACATTTTTTTTATATTCTATGGTTGATAGAAACAATGATTGGGTCTCATTAACTCAAGTAGGATCATAAAAATGATACTTGAGTGTGGGAATGATACCAAGAATTAAGGAGGAAAACTTGTCTACAGATCAAAGATATAAGATGAGAAATGGCACCAATGTTTCAGGAAAGTTTCAAGACATAATTTTAAGCCATGAACCAAACAATAAAAGAGAATCTAGCTGATTAAAATTTACTTGGTGAGAAAATATATACATGTATATATGTGTGGGAGTGTAAATGTGTGTGTGTGTGTGTGTGTGTGTGTGTGTGTGTTCAGAGGAACATAAAGAAAATACACCTGATAAACTAAAACAAGATTCTGTCTTAATTACATCAAAATATTATGGAATTTTAATAGATACATTTTTTACTTATTTATGATACTCTCTTTTTTCCCTTTGTGAGCCAAAACAAGGTCAAACACCTTTCATTCCCTGCATTGGCTGCACTTGTAAGGAATACCAGTTGACTGGAAACATGGGCTCTATCAAGAGAGAAATTATAAAGAAAGACCTAACACTCTCATTTAATGGGATTATTTTACTCTTAAGTCACATGCAGTATTTAATAAAGTATAACACGCAAATAACTGGATATGCTTCATATCAGAACTTACCTGTAACCTGTATTTCTCTACCGACATGTTAAATTCAGTCCTACTCTTTAGACCTTAATTTGCTATCTGTGAAATTCGGGTGTTAGACAACATGATGTGTTAGAGCATTTCTCAATCCACAATACTATTATATCGAGACTACTTTTTCTTTTTCAGATGTTTTTCATTTGAGTTTTAATTGTAATTTAATTTGGAGGATAGGATTAGAAATTCCAGAGTGCTTAAGGTGATACTATTTTTTCTTTTTCCTTTTTTCTTCTTTTTAATGAGACAGAGTTTCACTCTGTCGCCCAGGCTGGAGTGCAGTGGTACGATCTCCGCTCACTGCAACCTTTGCCTCTTGAGATCAAGTGATTTTCCTGCCTCAGCCTCCAGCGTAGCTGGGATTACAGGTGTGCGCCACCACGCCTGGCTAATTTTTTTGTACTTTTAGTAGAGATGAGGTTTCACCATGTTGGCCAGGCTAGTCTTGAACTCCTGATCTCAGGTGATTCTCAACCTCCCAAAGTGTTGGGATTACAGGCATAAGCCACTGAGCCCAGCCTATTTTTTCAATACCTATTCACTGCAAGCATGAACAGCAAAAGTCAATAATCTCTGTAGGATTTACTAAATGCATTAGAATAGTAAAGATCTATATGTACTTTGAGGACTTGCTTTTGTTTTTTAACTATTCTTAATTATTACATTATTAGGTGTCCTAGATTTCCTTTTCTTATTCCTCAGATAGTTCTTTTAAAACTGTAAGTTTTAGTTATTGCACATGTAACACTACTAAAATTGGGGAAATTAAAATTGAAAATAAATGCAGGAACTTAACACTGGTCTAAGAAAGACTGACCTCTGAATATTTCTTTTTCTGTGCTTGCCCATTTATATGCAGCAATGTATTTGCAGTTGTAATCATTTCATAGATAAAATTTTTGTGTTCTTTATATTTTTATGTATCTTCCATAATAGCCATTTTCTTATATCTTTCTGCCTTTTCTTATTTATCTTTAGGGCAAGTTTTTCTACTTAGAACTAACTCTGAATCTGAAAATATTCTTACATGGTACCAGTTTCTCCCATTTTTCCCTTTTGTTTTTACCATCATTTTTTCTAAATTGCCTTATCCAAATATAGATAGGAATTCCAGTAACAGATCAATAGCTATTTTAGATCAATTCCAGTTTTAAGAGTGCTGTATCCAACTCATAGATACACATTTTCAAAGGGATAGAAGAAATTAAAGTAGGTACAGATGGGAACAATAAAAATGATTAAAGCATGGGAAAATGGGACCTCTGGGGAAAGATAAAAGGAAATGAGATTATTTGTTCTCCAGAAAAGAAAAGCAAAAACTGTGGGGTAGTTTTAGAAGGTTCATGAAGAATGTGTGGAATTATCATAAGAATGAACATTTCATGTTTTTCATATATATTTTATAATAGAACATGGATAAATGGGTTTATATTACGATTAGGGTAGGCATAAAGATCCCATGATGGCAGACCTGCGGGACACAACAATGAGAAACACTCATCAAGGAAACTTTTGAAGGACATGAAATACTCAGGTGTTTCCGACTTTAGTAAACAAGGATGTGTCTTTGCCATATGCCAGCTGTGAATAGTTCCATTCAGGACACTATGCTTATTTTCCAGAGTATCATGTCTGTTCTCAGTAATTATAGCCTCTGATGGACACATCAATGCAACACCAAATGTCCCTAAAAGAAGTCTTATTGCCATGAATACTGAACTCATCCTTCAAAATAGATTTTGACTCCAAATCCTTCTCCTTGTCCCTGGACAGTTAGATGCCTTCTCATTGCAGGAAGCACAGAATTCTCCCCAAGTTATTCCACCTGTCCCTCCATCTCTCTTCTGCTTTCTTCAGTCTTGTAGATTTCACTAATAACAATTTTTGAAGACCTGACAGTAAGAAAAAAAAAAAAACAAATGTATCAACTTGGTAATGTTTCAGGATGCTAAAATTTTTTTATTGCAGTTTTATGAAAATTATTCTCCTGAAGTCATTTCTTGTTTTGTTTATTTTTAATCCCAATTTTAAGGTCTCTAATAAGACCTGCAGTTCCCTTTGTCACAAGAAAAACATTCTGCAAAGGCCTAGGAATTCTACTCATTTTCGGGTCTAAAATTGTTCCATTTATGCACTAAACTTCTTTGAATTCTTAAAAACAATAGGAATCCCACCGTTTTGGATTTATAGTTGCCTACCATGTAGACACTGGACCCAAACAGTGTGGGTTAAAATCCTGGCTGCAACACTGACTGGTTTGTGGTATTGGGAAAATGTATTTGTGATTCAGTTTCTTTGCTTGTCCAATTAAAGTCACAGTATAACTCATTTCACATTATCATGGCTTTAGGGTAATCCCCTTTGCTGAGTCCCCATAACCTTCCTAACCACTGTTCTCTAGTCCTGCCATTTCTATGCCAACATAAAATTTGCTGTTTGATGCCCATGACAAATACAAACAAACACCAAAGTTTTAAGTGCATAGGCTACAGTGATTTAGTGTGAGGATGCCCTTCACTCATTGAGCAGTGATTCTTGGTTCCTCATTAAATGTCTCTTATCTGTTAACACACCATCAACTACCCAACCTGCCCTATGGTATCAAGAAGCCCAAACATTTTTCTGATGTGATGCAAGCCTACTGCATCAAGCATTTAGCAAAATGCCCTTACTACCATTCTCTTCCTGGGAAGAATTTCAGTGCCAGCTCTTAAAATAAAAATACTTTGCCCACCTCATTATTCTAGATTTGAGTTCCAGCTCACCCACTCGGTGGCTATGTGGCCTCTGTCACACCACCATCTCCTCGCTAGACATTAATCTCTTCACCTGGAAAGGAAAAATTATAACACACATGGCTTTAAATGGATTAATGCATGTGACATGCTAAGCAGACCATCTGGCAATGGAATATCCATAATACATTTTAGCCATCCTATCCCTGAACTTATGGAGCTCTTACAATAATCAAATTAAATTAAGTATATGAAAGAATTTATCAGTGGAAAATTCCTGAGTATTATTGACAATATCTTAATCATTATTGGAATTTACTCCCTTTCCTGCATGCCTGTATCTGTGCTTCTGTATCCTTAATACAAAGATGGTTGTGAACTGTGTGTCAATCTTCATGTTGCACATCAATTCACCTAAGAGAACATGGGTACTTTTGTTTTGCAGAGTTCCAGGTCTGCCTTGGGGAGAGGCTGGCCATATCACTTCTGTTGAGTTTCCTCAAAGATATAATCCAAGTTCTAGATAAAAGATCAGCTGGCAAGCTCAAACAGACTGGAACCACATGCCTTCTTCTGTTTATAAGGTAATTGACAGATCAGTACATGTTGTAACTAATCTACCTTGGACTTGAGAAAGTATTGGGTTTCTATTCCTTCATTAATATCTCTATGGTCTTTGAGATGATTGCACACCAAGTGTCTTAATAGGAAACAGGGGCCAGTGATGTACTATTTATGTCATGCTAACCTTCCAATATTAAAGATTGAATATTTAGGAGAGGAAAAGTCATATCACAGGACCCAGAGGTGGATTTTAATGGTTCAGGACAGGTCTACAAGGCATATTGCTGAACTTTGAGAAAGAAGGGGAAGAGAAACATAGCTCAATGCAAATTCTTTTAAATAGGCCTGATTTGGCTGTGATTAAGAAAAGAATAATAATGCGTCAGTTAATGAAGAGCAAACTGTGGAAGCTGTATTTTAAAATTCTTCATTAAAGGCATGTTAGCAGGGTCAGATTAAATTACCATGTATTGAGTGCCTATCAGGAACTAAAAGATTTTGTTAATGATTTCTGGTGTAAAAATTTAAAAAAGAAACCTGTGAAATAGGTATTGGTATTCTCAGGCTACAAATGCCAACCTGAAGCTCTAACAGAAAAATCTATCAAACAAAACAAACAAACAACAACAAACAGCAACTGCCTTGGGATGGATGGTCTAGCACTCTTTAGCAAATCCCCACCTATCCCTGAGTTAGCTCATTTGCTTCTGGTCACAGCTATGTCCTTGATTGTGATGGTCAACTGTCTAAAGAAATGCAAGCTGAAGAAAGACCCACCCAAGGGTACTGAGCAAATCATTCTACCCTGTATCACTGAGTTATTTCCAGGTACAACATCTGCTTCCTCATTCTTTAACTGTGTCTCATTAGCAACTGGCTCATACCCTGGTCTCAAGTATAAAGTGCATTAATTTGTACAATGATGTGCCTGAGGCATAGCAGGTGATTAGCAAGCTTTATAATGCTGAACCTTGACGATTTCATCTATCTACCTTCAAAATATGGATTTTAAATATATGTACATATTTTGATAAATTGAAAAAATAACAAATCAGAAGAAAAATGTATCATTCTGACTCCAATAGTTTTAATTTACTTGTATGCTCTCTATCTATACTTTACATTTATGTGTTTGTATCATAAAACTAGGATCAGACAGCACTGCAGTCTCATTAATACGTGGCTATTTTCACATAGTCTATCACATACATTTACCCATCTCATTAGATGATTTTTCATGAAGTGATTGTTAATATCAGCAAGTCATTCTACTTTTTTCATAAAATTTAATGTTAAGAATTTCATGATTTTTTCATTAATTGTTTTCAAATTACCAAACATTATATTCTGTGGTTGGGAAAGTTTCACTTTCTTAACTTCTTAATTATCTAAGATTTCAAAAACTTGATAAATGCAACCAACTTTATAATGGATACCTAAATATTAACACCAATATTAATAACTATTAAGTATTAGTTTAAAAGAAAATATTGCAATGGTATCTAAAACCCTGTTAGCCCTAGTGAATCCTTCTCTGCTATTTTTTAAAGATAACTATCATGTTGTAGTGTCTGTTTCCTGAGGTTTTTCTACACATGGTTGGATTCATTAAGTATATCCACCATTATTTTAGATTTTTTTAAAGTTACACAAATATTGTCATATTGTATATATCCTTTCTTTTGGCCAATTTGTTAAAGATTTATATATATCAATACATGTCAACACATTAACTGATTTAACAAATTTTAACTGTGAAAATTATGTAATGGCATAAATTTTTCTACAGCAAGTAATGTTGAACATTTTTTGGCCTTTTTGAGAATAAATGTGAACATTACTCAAGTGGAGGCACCAAGAAGCAACAATGTGAGGAAATGAAGTGCATTCTTCTTCAACTTTGACAGGTGTTACCAAAAGACTTTCTAAATCTTCCTTTGTTCATTGTACTCTTGTGGCAAGATGGCTAGCGAGGGTACTCTTCCTGCAGTCCAGGAAGTCAGGCATGGTGGTGCACGTCTGTACTCACAGATACCCTGGCGTTTAAGGCAAGATAATCGCTTGAACCTAGGAGGCAGAGGTTGCAGTGAGCTGAGATGGCACCACTGCACACTCCAGCCTGGGCAACAGAGTGATACTCTGTCCAAAAAAAAGAAAAGTTCCAGTTAGAATATTTGCCACTGTGTCTCTGACTCCAAGTTTGTAGTACAACCTAGAATAGGTATTCAATAAGTAATCTGGAAAAAATGAATAAATGAACAAGGAAACAAATCATTAACATTATCAATACTGATTCTGCCAATCCAGGAACCTTGCTACCTGTTTATTTATTTACAATTTTTAAAAATTTTCATTTTCCTGAGAAAAATTTTCTGACCTTGTATGCCTTGGTCTTGTGCATGTTTGATAAGCTTGTTTCGTGATTTTTTTTTTTTTACATTTTTGTTACTTTTGTAAATATGCTCTTTTTTGGGGGGGAGGATTTGTGACTGCTTATTTTTTAGTATATAAGGAAAGTATACCTTTGCTTATATTTTATATATCTATACACTTTTTAAGATGGCATTTAGTTAATTTTCTTTTCTTTACGTGATCAAAAGTGATCTACAGAGAGTGATATTTGCCTTCTCATTGCTAACATCTTGTTACAATTTTTAATCTCTTTTTCTTGTTATATAATATTGGCTAGAGATTTTTTTTTCTAAATAACTTGTATTGTGAATATTTAAGATATACCACATGATGCTATGACATACATTTAGACAGTCAAATGATTACTGTAGTAAAGTAAATTAACATATCCATCATTTCACATAGTTACCCATTTTCTGTGTGCGGCAAGAACAGCTAAAAATCTACCCATTTCACAAAAATTCTGTGATCCAGAATTTAATCCAGTGTTACTAACTATAGTCTTCATGTAGTACACTACATCTCTCAGACTGTATTTTTAAATGGCTAATAGTAAGTCTCCTTATCTTGCCCAAACTTTAATTGGAGTCACTCCAGAGCTGAAAATAGAAATTCAAAAACGCTAGGGACCACCTGGCCACAGGAACAGGTGACATCAGCCAAGTTAAAGATTGCTGATTTTGAGCTTCCTGAATTACCATCTGGTTGTACACTGCCTTTGACAACTCCATGGGATCCAAACCTAACAGTTGTGTCCCACTCTGCTCTCTCTAGTGTATTCCCCTTAAGTACCTACCTGTTTGTAGCCTGCTATAAATCTCTTCATGATGCTTTTAGATTCCCTCTCAGCATCAAATTTGTCTAGTTTGTAGTTGTTGTTGTTTGAGACAGTCTCACTCTGTAGCCCAGGCTGGAGTGTTAGTGGCACGGTCTCGGCTCAGTGCAATCTCTGCCTCCCAGGTTCAAGTGATTCTCCTGCCTCAGCCTCCCGAGTAGCTGGGATTACAGGCACCCACCACCATGCCCACTTATTTTTGTATTTTTGGTAGAGATGAGTTTTCACCATGTTGGCCAGGCTGTTCTTGAACTCCCAACCTCAGGTGATCTGCCCACCTCTGCCTCCCAAATTGCTGTGACTACAGGTGTGAGCCACTGTGCACGGCCTTGCCAAGAGTTTTATAAAAAGTGTTCCATAAGTGATAAAAATGTATTTATTTTTGGCTTTTATCAATGTACTCAGGTATTTTTTTTCTTACTTTAGTCACCAATTATATAAATCATATTAATAGATTTCTACCAGGTAGTCCTTCTTGTCAGTTTTAATTAAATTTGGCTTAGACACATTATGTTATTGTTTTGTTCATAACTGATAAATACAATAAGCTAGAATTGTATTTTAAAATTTTGCTTCTAAAATTTATGAAAGTTTATTGATCTTCATGTGTGCACTTCAAAAAATGCTATTAACATGTCATTAGGAGGGTTAACATCCTGTGTGTGTGAATGTATGTGTGTGTGTGTGTATACATGCATCCACATAAGCATGTATGTGCCTTTTGAATTTGGCATTATTGGAATTATATACGTTTGGAAATATGTTGAGAATTTTTTCATCTTTTTCTCTAATTGCTGTACCATCTTCAATATCATATTTTCACTGATAAATTGAGTTTGGCATTCAAACTATTTTGACTAAGTGCATTTTTTGAGTCCTTGTTATATTATTCTAAGGTTATTGATACATTGATGTTTACAATTGCAATTTTAGTGATTTGTACTTTTTCTTCATTTTTTAAAGAGATGGGGTCTTACTATGTTGTCAGGCTGGACTCTGTTCTTTCATAAAAAACTCTTGTTATGTTAGGGTTTGCAAATTTAATAATATTGATTGATAAAAATTAAAATGTGTTTTACAAAAATTTTCCCAGTGTCTGTGTTTAGAGCCCCTTTTCCACATGCAATTTCATATATTTTCAGTTTTTGTTTTTAAAATTCTAGTTTCTGGGGTGTCTTTTACAGAATAATAATCAGGAGCTATGACCTCTGAAATTTATCCTTTTAGAATTTTGAGTATTTTGCCATCACTATGATACATTTTAGTAAATTTTCTAAGGTACC